GGTCATTTCTGATTCATGGGATTTTAAGTAATTTTTACCTTTTTTGGCCTTTTTGCTGTAATTTGAATTTTCCCAACAAACATGCATTATTTGTGTAAAAACTATAAAGCTATTCTAAAAAAAAAATCTATACTTAGCAATGAAACATTTCAGGTACTATAGTTGAGTGGGATGCAGCTTTTCTTCTAACAGCCTTTCCAATGATCAGACTGAATAGTTAACCCTTCAGTGCTAAAAACTCTACTTCAGCAAAAGTCCTTGTTTTACATTTTCATAATTAAGTGTTCTATTATAGGTGGGAGCTTTTTACAAAACAAGGGGTTCCTGAAAGGTCAGAATAGTCTCCTCCACTGAGAATACTTAGGCTTACAGCTTTGAAAGGGTAGATGTTTGATTTTTAGTTTTTGAGTCTTCCATCTACTGTTTATAGATTTTGAAGACAGAAGACAATCAAGCATCCCCTAGGAGACAGTTAGCTTCATTAGGACAGGGAAAGTACAATTCACCTTTGTATTCTCAGGCCTTGACACAGTGCCAGGCATGAAGTAGGTGCTATATAAATATTTTATATTGAATGAATAAGTGAACAAATGAATAGTAAGTTTAATGGCTGAGTTTCTGCTTGGGAGATGGAGTCACACCCTTGCATACTAACACTTGATTAGGAAATGTAGAAAAATTAAATGGGAGCAAAGTGATTTTAACTAGGAGCACACATAAGACCAAAATTGAAGTAGAAAATTCAATGACCCTTTATTGAAGGCCTGTAGCATGCCAGGCCCTGATCTATGTGTTGAGAACTTACTTGTGAAGAGGAACTTAATTACAGTGGGGAATACAGACTTTGATCAAGTCATGACATGCGGGAAGTGAGTCCCAGCAGGGGAAAGAGCTGGATGCTTTGCCAGCATATGATGGGGGCACCCAGTCTAGGTAGGGTGCAGTGGGGAAAGCAGACATGGCCAGGGAAGGCCTTTGTAAGAAATTGGCGTTGAAGTTGAGACCCAAGGTTGATGAGAAGGAGCAAGAAAAGTTAAGATTGGCAGGCAAAAACATTCAGAAGTTTCCAAGGTGGAGAGAGAGAACAAGTGAGGTGACCACATGTACAAAGAGCCTAATCTGGGGAAGAATTTGTGATATGTGAGGAACAGAAAGAAGGTCAGTGTGAGCAAGGCACCTGTGAGAAGTGGACCATGGTAGGGTTCATATCACTCAGGGCAGGGCCATGGGAGGAAGTTGGGATTTTCTATGATGTGCAATAGGAAGATCTTGAAAAGCTTTACTGTGAGAGTAATCATAATCTTATTTATATTTTCAACATGGAATAGCTGCTGGATGATAGAGGGAGTAGAGTGAAGCTGAGTGGAGGCAGAAGATAGTCAGGTGAGAAATAAGGGTGATCTGGTCTAGAACCTGGGTCTATCTGTGGATTGTAGACATGGGTTAAACTCAAATGCCTGAAGTAGAAAAAAAAAAAGATTGTAGACATGGAGATAAGTGGATGGATTTGAGCTGTGGTTTGACAGTAAAACTAATAAGACTTGGTGCTGAATTGAAAGTGGAAGGGCAGCCCTATTGAACTCCGGCTGCTCCATCTAACAGCAACTGTCATTTTTCATCCCAGTGCTCTCTCCCCGAACCTCTGTTCATGGTTTTGCTTTTCTACCAGGTACTTGTTACCATGGCACATATTAAATTTTATTTGCATTCTCACTTTTAACAATTATCTGTTTATTACAGCTGGACATTTGTCTGTTTTGTTTAATGTCTTATTCCTGATGCCCCGAACATTCTTGATGCATATTAGGTATTCAATAAATACTTATTGCCTTACTGAATAAGGATCTGGGTCTATCATTTAGTAATTTAATAAATGAAAAAGTAAATGAGGGTGAGAGACAAGGTAGGTGAAGAATGTTTTTAGTTGGCTATTGCTTCATAACAGACAAACCTAGAATCTCAGTGGTATACAACAACAGACATTACTTTTTCTCATTCTTTGGTCTGTGAATCAGCGTGGGTAACTGTGCTTCAGGCTTGCAGGTCTGCTGAGCTAGGCTCTGGACTGTGGGTTGGGATCCACTCTGCACCGTGTGTATTTTCATCTTCCTTGGACTAACGTCTACCTGGAATCTGTTCTTCGAATGCTGGATAGAAAAAGCACAAAAGACCAAATTCAATTTCTTTCTTTCTTTTTTTTTGAGGCGGAGTTTCGCTGTTGTTGCCCAGGCTGGAGTGCAGTGGGGCAATCTTGGCTCACTGCAACCTCGGCCTCCCGGGTTCAAGCGATTATCCTGCCTCAGCCTCCCGAGTAGCTGGGATTACGGGCAGGCGTCACCATACCTGGCTAATTTTGTATTTTTAGTAGAGATGAGATTTCTCCGTGTTGGTCAGGCCGGTCTCAAACTCCCTACTTCAGGTGATCTGCCCACCTTGGCTTCCCAAAGTGCTGGGATTACAGGCATGAGCCCCGGTAACTGGCTCGGCCAAATTCAATTTCAAAGGATCAAGAAAGCATATTTCACTTTCTCTAGTGAAAGATACGCAAAGTCACCTAGCAAAGTATATAATTCGACAACAGGGAGAGATTGGGGGTTAAAGAACTGTAATCCAGTCTTCCGACATGACAGCTGGGTATGGCTTGAGCAACTACCTGGATGGAACTGCCATTTATTGATATTGGGAAGGTTGGAGCAGGAACAGGTTGGGGAGAGAGGATAAAAATTAGGAATTCAACTTTTGACCTGATAAATTTAGTGAAACTGCCAATGACAGGAATCACAGGTGATAGAAATGTAACTAGCTTAAGCAGAAGCAGAATATACTGGTGAATGTAATTGGAAAGTCTAAGGAGGACCTTCAGAGCTTCAGGTACAGCTGGATCCAGGGACTCAAAAAATTTTGTCAGGGATTTGACTTAGCTTCTGCTTCTCTGATCTGTTGCTCTCTTTTGGCTTCATTTCCAAGCAAACTCCTTCCGTATGGTGAGATGGCTCCTGGCAGCCTGAGTCACCGTTAGCTTAGCAATGATAGCAAAAAGGACTTTTCCCTCTCAGCATCCATACATCAGTCTAAGAGATTATGATATTGTTATTTTGCTTAGGTCATATGTCCATTTATCAACCAATCACACTGGCCTGGGTAGCCAGGGCACTATGATAACCTTCCTGGGTCATGTGCCCATCTCTGGGGTAAGGTGTCTGGTACCGTAGTTAATATAGGAAGGAAATTGTACACCAATGAAGCAGGAAAAAGAGGATTGGAAGGTATCTGGGCAGACAAAATCTACAACTACTGCAGTCTGGTAGAGATGGTAAGAGGGTAATTTAACTTATGGGTCTGGCGTTCATTTTCCAAGTCCAAGATGGGACCAGAAATTTGGGAATTGTCTGTAACAGATGATACCAGAGGCCTGGGAGTGGATGAGGTTACCTATGGAGTAAGAAGAGAAGAGGGTCTATTGTACTGTAAAATGAATACAAATTTTATGTGACAAATAGGTTTGCTAATTAATTCTTAGAAATTGCTGGCATATTGGAAGAATACGTGTGTTTTTAAAACAAACACCTGTATAGCACTTCCTTATGTGTCAGGCACTGTTCTAAGAACTTTGTAAGTCTCTATGCATATAATCCTCATAATTCTATTAAGTTGATACTACTGTTATCCCCATTTTACGGATGAGGAACCTGAGGCAGAGACTGGTTAAGAAACTTGTGCATAGTCAACACAGGTAATGAGATAGTCTGTGTTGAGATGAAGAAGTCTGGCATCAGAGTTTTCATGATTAAGACTTCATGTATTTAAAGAGCTTCCTAGAGAACATGAAGTTTTTGTCTCTTTCCCTCACCTCAATTCCATAACACTTTGAGATTTTCACCTGCTGCTCTGGATTTGTGGTGGGGTACCCATGTGGTTTGGCTCATCTGAGACTATGTCTCTGAGGATGAAAACTGAGAAGGCAGAACCCCAGAGGTTGTTCGAGTTAACTTAGGGGGTGCTCACCATCAGGAGAAACAGATGCTGTTTAAGTCAGGAAGAAATGAGTGTTCGCTCCAAGACCTGCTTCAGAAAGCCTCTTTGTTTTATGACTTTGGGTGCAAGCAACTCTTTTAATTTTGTGTCTTGGATTCCAGCCATAGGAGGCCTTCTTTAATGTGGCAGATGGCTGGAGACAGGCAAGCCAGGTTCCTACACTCTCCATCAAGCTGCCTTCCCTAGAGAGGAGTTTCCTAATTATATTGCTCTGAAAAAGAGAAGAAAAGATACATTAAATGGATACATTAAACTTATACCATGTGTAAAGTAACCACAGTTTTAAGCATCTGCAAACATGTGGAGATCAGGAAACCTTTAAGAATGTGATGAAAGCTATGGTTTTTTCCTGCAGAAAATTTGTATATATGTGTGTGTATATATATATATATATATATATATATATATATATATATATATATATATAAATGTGCACATTAATTCCCTGTTGGGGCAGGGGGTGGGGGTGGGGTTCACAGATTCTCTGATATCCATCCCTGAAGCTTCAAGGAGTCTGTGGCTGCCAGATTCCTGTGCTTTGAGTGGAGGCAGCTGTCATTCTTTTACTTTCTTTCTTTTTTCAATACATCATGATCTCAGCTTCTGAGTTATGAAAATAAAGGGTCTGTGGATTATAAGGGAAGCACTTCACACCAGAACACCAAAATTTAACTAGGAAAAAAACTTCTTCACATATTGGATAAAATTACTTTTGCATATTCTTTGGTCAGCATGGAAGCTTGGCTCATTCTGTTAAAGACTGACATGAAGGTTCCTCTGACACACATGATGCAGCTTTTCTTTCTCCATTATGGGCTGTGCCTCTGCACATCATTTCCTTAGAACTTCACTCGTCTCAGGACTTCTCAGTTGAGTCCTGGCTTCTGCACTGTTTCCACTATTAAGAATTGGGGGCAGTGGGCAGTCTGCCAATTAAAGAATAATACAGAATTCTCAGAATTTGAAAAGGAAGCTTTATTGTTTCCAAGGACTCTGCTGGAGGAGTCATGCAAACCACCATTTCTTCCTCTAATGTCCATGTGCCATAATGGTCTGAGGAAGGGAGAACAAGCCTTTGAGGCGGCTACCAGGATCCTCAGCAGATCTCTGGGATATCATTCACTCATGCTTCTATGCTGGCTGACTCCTACCATCATCACGTTCTTCCAGTTCTCACAGTGGGGTAGGCAGTAGTCACGTAGGCAGAGCCTTCTGAGCTACAGTAAACTATGTAATTAAGATACTGATTAAGGATTTTCAAACCAAAAGCAATTTGCTTCAATTACTGTGCATTTAAAAATCAAACTTAAAAAATACAGAAATACTTTAAAAATTATTCCAGTTCTTCATCTTCTATTATATTGTCCCACTTTTCCTGAAAGTTACCTTCTTCTTAGACATGAAAAATTCAAGGTGGGAGTAGGTCATGGGCTAAACATTTAGGCTAATGCTCTACATCAAATTGATAATCTAAACGATTATTGAACAAATTCAAAGACAAGGGCCATATCTTCCATAAGCATCAACCCAATTAAAGAAAAACTCTTTGGGATTTAAATCAGGGCTTCTCAACCACAGCACAACTGACATTTTTGGTTGACTAATTTTTGGTAGAAGGAGGCAGTCCTGTGTGTCGTAGGGTGTTCAGCAGTGTCTCTGGCCTCTACCCTCTACATGCTAGTAGCAACGCCCTCCTAATTGTGACAACCAAGAACATATTCAAACATTGCCAAATGTTTGTTTTCTGGGGGTGCAGTCACCCCTAGTTGAGAATTATAGGCTTAAATTATCCAGAAATAGGTTTTTCTACAAGTAAAGTAAAATTGAGTATTAGAGTTGCTTTTATCTGGTCTTCTTGATCAGGTGAATGGCTAAACCATAAAAGCAGTTTGTCTATTTTGATGCCCCACTGACTATGTCTATCTGTTCAGATCTTCCTGCTCTACATTTATTCTTAGATCCCTTTTGACTGCCAAAACCAGGAACTTCCTTACTTCATTTTTATGGTTCTGGCACGCCTGTTCATTTGCTATTTTATAATGTTTTTGACTATATAGATCAGGCGTCCCCAGACTTTTTACACAGGGGGCCAGTTCACTGTCCCTCAGACCGTTGGAGGGCTGCCACATACTGTGCTCCTCTCACTGACCACCAATGAAAGAGGTGCCTCTTCCTGAAGTGCGGCGGGGGGGCGGATAAATGGTCTCAGGGGGTCGCATGCGGCCAGTGGGCCGTAGTTTGGGGATGCCCGATATAGATATTGAGTGATCCCTCTGATTTTCTATAGCCTTTGATGTCTAGGTAATTTCTTAGATCTTCGGAAGGCTGCTGGTGTGCTACTAAAATCTCCAGTCCTCCCTTCTATGTTATCATCTCTTCCAACTTTAGACCTAGACAGAGCTCAAATAGCAACTTGGAGAGGGTGGCGTCTCTGGTTGATTTGATCAGTATGTGGACACATAACTTAGGAAGCAAAACCGTTGGCTTTGAGATTACATATGTGATTATGAAAAGGAATCTTGTAATCACACATTCTTCTGACATATGCACAGTGACTACAAAACAGCAAATAATTTGTTTTGGGAAGGATTTTACTGGCTGTTTGAAGTGAGGCGTATCTCTATGACACAAAATATTTAAACCAAATTGCTATGTCCCATAATGTTCAACAAAGCACTCTGCAAACCTCAGTTCTGGAAAAAAAACGTATCCTCCAAGGCAGGATTATATGCACTTCTGGGAGTTGTAAATCCATGCAGGCTCCAGAAATATTTGCCTTCCAAGGGTTGGAAACTTCTGAATTAACAACAAATAACCAGTGAGTGTGACAAAGAGTTAAAATACACAGACTTGACTTTCACAAAGTTTATGATGTAGTAAAGAAGTTTAAGATGGAGACCTGAAATTGCAAACTTGTGGCCAGTAGGCTAAATCCGGACCATGGATTTGTTTTGTTTGGCTTGCGTGGAGTTGGCCTCCGGAATGTCTAACAGAGTGAGAGGAAGGGAGAGGGGAGGGGGGAAGGAGACAGGGAAAGAGAGAAAAATAGAAGTTGCTAAACAGATACAACTGAGATTTTGGCATAAAAATATACATTCCCAGCTCTTCTTGAAAAATCAGAATATCTGCAAACACTGGACCCTTATTCCCACATTTCACTATGGTAACAGTTGGCTAGAACGATGAAATAGCAGTGACCCCTTTGGTCTCTGGAACTAGGTACTCTCTGGTCTCTTCTCCTACTCCCCCTTCACCCTTTTTTTTTTTTTTTTTTTTTTTTTTTTTTTTTTTTTTTTTTGAGACGGAGTTTCGCCCTTGTTACCCAGGCTGGAGTGCAATGGCGCGATCTCGGCTCACCACAACCTCCGCCTCCTGGGCTCAGGCAATTCTCCTGCCTCAGCCTCCTGAGTAGCTGGGATTACAGGCACGTGCCACCATGCCCAGCTAATTTTTTTTTGCACTTTTAGTAGAGACGGGGTTTCACCGTGTTGGCCAGGATGGTCTCGATCTCTTGACCTCATGATCCACCCGCCTCGGCCTCCCAAAGTGCTGGGATTACAGGCTTGAGCCACCGCGCCCGGCATCCCCTTCACCCTTTTATTAGGCCTCTGTCATCATTTGAGATGGCCACCCATAGTGCAGAGACTTCTGGAACATTTATTTAGTTTCTTCTCCATGGAAATAAACTGCTAGAGCCTGGAGCGAAACAGTGGCTACACCATTTGTCTGTCAGGTGAGATGACCCTGCCTCAGGCCGTGGAGGTGGCAATTGAGGTGTGAGAAATGGTCAGAGTTAGGATATATTTTGAAGAAAGAGTTAATAGAATTTCCCGATGGATTGAATTAGGATGTGAAAGAGCATTTTCCAAAATGACTCCAATTTTGATTTTTACTTATTTTAAAAAGAAAACCTATAATAAAACATTGGAAAGCCAGTCTTGAAATTCTAAAATAAAATTATTCAAGAGCTTTTTCTTACTAGTATTCTCCAAATCGTGTACCCTATGTGGTACCAATATACTCTGGGAAATGCTGACAGTTTTGGAAATTTGGAGGAAAAAGCACTGAGAAGAGCTCCAATTACTAAGAAAAGAGAGTCCAGGAGATGGGCTGGTGTATATTAGCCTATACTCTTGGAAATGCTGACAGTTTTGGAAATTTGGAGGGAAAAGCATTGAGAAAAGCTCCAATTATTAAGAAAAGAGTCCAGGAGATGGGGTGGTGTATATCGGCATCTCTGGACCCCAGTGACCCCACTGCCTGCAGGGCTGGGTCCTCAGGGTATCTCCCTCCCCACAAGGAGGTGGAGAGGGTATGTTGTCTTGAAATATTGGGGTTGCAACCCGGTGTATGGACAGCCCCACTCCAGGGTCAGACACTCGGCTCCATTTCCATAGGTCCTCGAGGGTTCCAGGATTGCCCCGTGGGAGGAGTTTCAGTGCTGCATCTAGCAAGAAACTGTAGGATGCTCAGAAACATGTTTCGAAGCTGCTGTGCACAGAAAGAAGACTCTTCATTCAGGTTTGTATTACAAATCAATAAAAGTAGCTAAGTCGTATCTGAAGCTGTCTTTGTTTACACTTCGCAAATGACGGAAACTCTCCAGTTGTCTGTATCAAGGACAATCACTTAGTTTTATTACAATGTATGCTGATTTGGTCAGTGGAAGCTACTAGCGGCTACCGTGGTGGTGGTGGTGGGAGCTATTTGACTCCCACTGCCAGGCTCGGCCATCCACGCAAACGCCTCCGGCGGCCGATCGGAAGCTGGCGTCGTCCGGCGTGGAGCCAGGCCCGGAGGCTTCCTTCGGCTGCCCGGGCAAGACACCCCTCCCTCGGTCCCGCGGCGGTCACTCGGCCCCAGGCGCGCATGCGCCGACCCCAGCGGGCCTTCTCCCAGGCTCCCCCCCCTCCTTCCCTCCCTCATCCGGGTCCTGGGCGAGCGGGCGCCGTGCGCGTGTCCCGCAGTCGAGCTGCTAATAAAGTTGCAGGGAGAAGCGCAGCGACGGCGTCGGGAGAGCGCGCCCAGCCGGCCCGCCAGTGAGTGGGGGGTCCCCGGCGCGCGCGGGCGGAGCGGGACCAGAGGCTGCAGGCCCTGCCCGGGCGGATTCGGGCCGAGGCGGGGGCGTTCGGCCGCGGGCAGAGCGGAAACTACCCGGGGCCTGCCGGGCCGGAGGTAGGCCGAGTCTTGGCCTGCCGGGGTCCCGGCTGGCGGACACCGTGCGGCCCAGTGGCTGCGGAGGCCTTGCCTGCGGCCCGGGGTGTCCCGAGGCGGGGCCGGGGCTGGGCGCTGGGACCACCCGGACTTAGGAGGGAGGCATCCGGGACTGGAGGGGTTCCCCTGACCCTGCGTCTGTTGTAGGGAGCGGTTTGCTGTCCGACGTCAAGCTGATGTACCGCCCTCGATACGCACCCCTGATAGGACTGCGGTGCTCGGGGGAGCAGCCTGGGCTTCCGCACTGCGAAGCTGTCCACCGGCTGGATGAATCCGTGCCGCGGTCGCTTTGTGTTTCAAAGATAAGGATCCTTGCTTATCGGTGGGAATGACACTCGGGGCAATTGTGACCGGCTGCTGCAATCAGCTGGTAGTTAGACCTGCTTTCCGCCACTTGCCATGTCAGTTTTCACCGCTGCAAGGATTTCTTCTACTTGTTAAACTTCTCTGTGCTGCTAACAGAACGCCAAAGTAGCGTCTTTTTGCCTTCACCATATTCAGCCGCTGGCCAGGCCCTATACTTCAACATCAGGGCCCAAATTAATATTCCAGTCTCTTCCCTTTCTCCTCCCCCTTTACCCTCTCCTTCTCCGCCGCTGTTATTACGTGGAGTTTGGAGCCTAAGCTTTGAAAACTCCCATGTGGCGCGCCCGTCTTAAGTCTGAGCATGCTCAGTAGCCAAAACAGATTTTTGGTTGCAGAAAACTCGGGCGAGGATGGTCGGGGTGTTTGGACGTTTGACGGATTCCTAACAGAACGTTCCAATTCTGGTGGTGATGGCTTTGGAGAATAGAGCTTAGGCCAGCCTGTAGGTGAGGAATGGCTGAACACCCTGAGCCCGATCGTTATCTTGATTGTAAAGACAATGTTTCCTGACCAGCTGGAGGTTTGGAGGGGGTGTGGTGTTGGCTGGGGGTGCGCAGGGCTGCTTGTGTATTTAAATGGGTGTGGTGCTAAGTATATCTTGTTTACCTTATCTGTGGAAAAGTTTTGAAGTCTGGTTAGGTTTGTCATATCACGCCTGTTGCCTAGCACTACGAAAATTGTTCTTATCTAAGCAGAAAAGATTGGATAGGTGGAGGTCGTGGCTTGGCCAAACAGAAGTTTAGAGGAAAGGGTACTTGGATTGCATTTTTTAAAAATCTTATTTAAAACTAGAGTACTTGAATTTCCGTAGAGTACCCGAATTGCCCAGAGTGAATAAGTTTTTAATTTTAATTTGAAAGACGAAAGTTTGAAAATCTTAGTCCCAGTAGGTTTAGTAACATTCCAAATAGCTTACAATTTCTGCTAGATGCCAATGCAGTGGTGTCCGTTGTGGGAAAACAGTACCTACACTCAGTGGGACAATTTTACGTTTATTGAATGTCGTTATGAAATTAGTGTTCCAGATTTCATAAGGGGCTATTTGCGGATGTGTGACAAACCATGTGTCTTTTATTCCTTTGGTAACTATTAATGTTTTTTTTCTCTACGGCGAAAATTGTAAAAATACAAAACTTAGAAGAGACAATTTAACAAAACTTAACCTTAAAGGTTGTAGATATTATGTTTAGGTTTATAAAATTTAAATTTGATGATTGTATGATTGTTCCTGTACATCTTCCTTTCCTTCCCTCTCCACATTGCTGCTCCCTCAGTCTTTTTTACATTACTGCTGTTAATTTACCCATGTATCTTTGTTACAGATACCTCATGCTTCATTTTATGCTTCCACTCCTTTCAGATTATAGCTGAAATAAGCAATAAAAGTTAGATGAACCCTCTCAACTGACTTTCAGGTTTTAAAGGTATCCATATGATATGGTCTAATTAAAAGGAGGAAGAGAGCTGCAAACTGGAAAAAAATTAAAATATTTTCATAGTTTCTGTACAGATCTGGTAGTATTATCTTTGTGTCTGGTTCACTGTGGTAGGCGCCACAGAAATGGGTAGATTGATATGTGTTGCATTTCTTTCCCCTCTGGCAAAGTCAGCTATTAATTTCAGTGGGAGACAGTGGCAGAAGGTTGTTACTAATGAGGTTTGAATCAGATTGTTGTTTACTGTTGGTTATGTAACATGCTGCTGGGAGTATTATTAAAAGTTGCATTCTGTAGTAAAGTAGAGGCAAGTAAATTCTGCTTACCCTCTTCACTGGGTTTTAATTCTTGGCTGAACCTGAAGGCACATTAGACTGCAACCATAATTATACCTGGGCAGCCTGTCTGTTTCCTGTTTTCATCATGAACCCAAACATTATGATTTGCAGTGATGATCTTTTTTGTCCTTTGCATTAAACGGAGGCGCTGTGTTTTCTCTTTCTACTGAAAACAGATTTGTACCTTGGTCAAATTACAGAGTTTACTGTTTTGAAAACTAGGCAGTTTTCAAATACCAGTTTTTCATTTATTAATATAGTAACAAATTGAAATACCATCTAAAAAAATCTATTTAATATATATTCAATTTTAATATTACTGGTATTTTGTAGAGTTAAGAAAACTTTTTGTTTATGACCTATCAGTGTTTATTATTAACGGATGTATATGTTGGTCTAGGCAATGGGCCACACATCTGAGTGAATTTCAGTGCTGACTTGAGTACACTTGAGGATATGGGTGTCTATTTTCCTGGTTTATCAGTCTTATTTTTATTTCTAGAGTGTCTGTGTTTCTTGTCTCTCTCTGTCTCTCTGTGTGTTGTACAGTAAGCGTTAATAGAAGAAGGCAAAATAGTTTATTTCTTCAAATGTTACAGGCAGCTTATATATCCTATGGTTTGCCAGCCTACTCATAAGGTCAAAGACATTGAGTAAGATTACCTTTTGTAAGGGGTACTAGTAGCCTGAGGAAGGACTCTTATCTCCACCAGTCTGGATATTCTAGAGAAAAGAATATCTGGGAAGGTAGGGCCCAAGGAAGCTGGGGTGCATTATAGGGTATTTTCCTATCAAAATAGATGATAAAGGACCCCTGAAAGCTGACCCATCCTCCCCCCCTGCCATGGAGTCTTGCTCTGTCACCAGGCTGGAGTGCAGTGGCACACTCTTGGCTCACTGCGACCACGGCCTCCTGGGTTGAAGCGATTCTTCTGCCTCAGCCTTCCTTCTGCCTCAGCCTTCCGAGTAGCTGGCATTACAGGTGTCCTCCACCATGCTCGGCTGATGTATTTTTAGTAGAGACGGGATTTCACCATGTTGGCCAGGCTGGTCTTGAACTCCTGACATACCTTGTTTTTCTACTTCTGAAGTTAATAGAAAAATAGTAATTGAAATTTGCAGTTCCATTGGTGTCGTCACACACCTTTTACCTCTAACCAGAACTCTGAATTTGAGAAGAATGTTTACGAAATGGGAGGTCAAGATGTAGAACTTTTTTGGAAGAATTTTTAAAAACTAGATTGTTATTAGGACTAATCTCATAGGTCACCTTCATTTTCTAACAGCCTTTGTTGTTTTACAACTCGGAAAGATGGGGTAATTACAGAGTTCTTAGGTTTTTCATAAATAATCAGCTAGTTCTGGGCCGTTTATTTATTTGAGACAATGTCTCTCTCTCTCACCAAGGCTGGGGTTCAGTGGCGAGATCTTGAGTCACTGCAACTTCCATCTCCCGGTTCAAGCAGTTCTTCTACCTCAGCCTCCCGAATAGCTGGGATTACAGGCACCTGCCATCATGCCCGGCTAATTTTTTGTATTTTTAGTAGAGTTGGGGTTTTACTGTGTTGGTCAGGCTGGTCTCGAACTCCTGACCTCAGGTGATCCACCCGCCTTGGCCTCCCAAAGTGCTGGGATTACAAGTGTGAGCCACCGTGCCTGTCTGGGCTCTTTATTCAGTTTTGATTTTTTTTTTTTTTTTTTTTGCCTTGGGCAGTTAGGTGAGGAAGTTTTTAGCCCAATTCTAGTAGAGTGGTGTTTTCAGTGACTTTTCTTCCTCCTTTTACTATATCCTAACTTGGTTGAGATAGTATTTTGCAAGAAAGAGTTCTTTATTAAGACAGTTCTGTATGTGCAATACTAAAATTGTAATTCACTTTTGGAAGCTAGTTATTAAAGTACATTTTGTAAGTAGGTTTTGTTCCTGCATTTTTTGGGACCCCCCCCCCCACCATCTCTTTCTATAGTGTATATGTAATTTATAGACTGGAAATTTGAAAATGATCTCACCTGTTAAGATTTTAGCCGTTTTTTTCTTTTGATTTCCATGTATGTTGTTTTGTTATACTGAAAATAATACAAAAAAACTAGTGTCTTATTTCCATCTTTTCTCTGAGCATAGCAACTAGAGTCCTGGGAGGAGGCTTAGATTTTTCAGATTTAACTATGATCTCAGAATGTGGCTGGCACTTGCAAGGCAAGTTTTGTTTTGTTTTCATGATGTGTTAGGATCTGCCTAGTCTCCTATCTGGTAGGCTGTATAACTTGAGATCTAGTTATTCTGGTTTGTGTGTTCTCAGGGAAGATAGGGTACTGCAAATATATTTCAAAGCCAGACTTCTGTTTTCTTCTTAGTCATTGCCCACTTGTCTACCTTATTCATTTACCATTTCTCATTCTTTGAAATTGAAAGTGTAAATTAAGTGAATGATGGCTGGAGCTGGAAAGGTACCCAGAGCTGTGTTTATTTCTTTTTTTTTTTTTTTTTTTTTGAGACGGAGTTTCGCTCTTGTTACCCAGGCTGGAGTGCAATGGTGTGATCTCGGCTCACTGCAACCTCCGCCTCCTGGGCTCAGGCAATTCTCCTGCCTCAGCCTCCTAAGTAGCTGGGATTACAGGCACGCGCCACCACGCCCAGCTAGTTTTTTGTATTTTTAGTAGAGACGGGGTTTCACCATGTTGACCAGGATGGTCTCGATCTCTCGACCTCGTGATCCACCCGCCTCGGCCTCCCAAAGTGCTGGGACTACAGTATTCCCTTTACTTCTAAGCAGGGTATGTGAACTCTGGGTGCACATGAGCTATCTGGAGAACATCTTCCTAATACACTGGAATATATGTTATGTACACAGGTTAGCTTTTTGTGTTCCAGAGACATGTTTTACAGTCATGATTTGGTATCTACACTTGATGATTTTATATTTTAAAGGAAATCACTGCAAAGATTGACCAGCTCTGTGTCTGCTCCTGTGCCTACATGCCTGTACAAGCATCAAACGCATCTGGTAGCAATGTAGAAAATCTTGCAGGCTCTGTGGGGGTGATTGGTACATTTAGATCAGGCTCTGTTTAATTAGGGGACTTAGAGGAGCAGGTGAAGCTTAGAGAGTGATTGAAAACTGGGAAACAAAAGTCTGCCTGTGGGAGAGAATGAAGTAGAAAATTCTGTGGGCACAGAGAGAATAGGCAAGAAGATTATGCAGTGAGAAGTGTCGGGAATCATGAGTTCAGCTAGTGAAGGGCTTTGAAATCTGCTGTGAGGGCTTCTCATGTCTTTGGAAATTGGGAGCCACAGTTGAGGAAAGTGGTGATTTAAATGTTTCTCTATGAAAATAATTTTGGTGCCCACGTAATTGTACCCTGTCTTTCTTGTAGATGTTCTTATAAAGAATACGATTTCTGAATCTAGAAGAGCTGTGAGCAAACATGCTTTTGGTTTCCTTCTCCTCTCTGCATACAGTTGTGAATGTGGCTTACAAGTTTTATAGCAGTTGTATACCTGGACCTAGAGATGCTTTGATGGTGATAGTGGCGGTTGTCTACTTGCTGACAGCTATTGATAATTAGAACCACAGGGTAAGAGATTTTTAAAGCTTTACCACCACATTTCCACTGCCCCTAAAAGTTACCATTAGGTTGAATATATGCAAGTGTCTTTTCTTCCATTGCAGGGGATCCTGAGCACCTTGGTTCCCAAGCCTCCTGCATAGTCTGAGACGCTTGTTAAAAATGTGGGAGGTAAGGTCCTTCTGCCAAGCCTAGTGAATTTGAATTTTGAGGGATGTTTCTAAGGAACCTTCCTTCCTTCCTTCCCTCCCCTTTCTTCCTTTCTTTCTGATGGAGTCTTGTTCTGTTGCTCAGGCTGGAGTGCAGTGGCATGATCTTGGTTCGCTCCGTCCTCTGCCTTCTGAGTTCAAGTGATTCTCCTGCCTCAGCCTCCTGAGTAGCTGGGTCTACAGGCACGTGCCACTGCGCTAATTTTTGTATTTTTAGTAGAGGTGGGGTTTCACCATGTTGGTCAGGCTGGTCTTGAACTTCTGACCTTGTGATCTGCCAGCCTCGGCCTCCCAAGGTGCTGGGATCACAGGCGTAAGCCACTGTGCCTGGCCAGAATTTCTTTATTTAAAATCCCCGTGTTCAATTCTTTTGTACAGGTTTGAATTAGAATACGATGGTTTGTGACTCATCTGGGCATTTATTCGCATGGGATAATGTGCTCAGGAGATTTTGTTTTGACCAGTAGTGTTGGGGAAAATTTGTAGGATTGGTTTGCTTGCCTTTTTATTTCAGATTGAAGCAGTCATAGAGATGTTGGAGCAGAAAGTGAAGGAGTTATTTCTGTGAATTTACTTTAGAAATCTGGATATAAGCTCTGTGTGTGCATGTGAGTCTGAATGTATGTGGGTCTGTATGTGTGTCTGGAGGAAGGTATTGAAGTCGGTTTCTATGTGTGTTTATTATGAAAGTTGGTCAGGATGTCGTACTTTCATAGCCTGAGGTAAGAACAGGACCTTTGGGTTATCGATTTAACATGACTTAATTTGAAGTAGAAGCCGTTTGAAGTTTAGCAACATTTTATTCAGATGGTTAA